GCTTTTCACAGCCGGCCTGTGTCTGCTCCAGAACTGATTTATGAATACAATCAGTGCTCGCTCTGCTGTTCCCTCCCCCGTCGGCCCGGGGGGCGGCGCTGGAGGCACGGACGCGGCTGTGCCTGGCAGGAATGGGTTTATTTATTGCCTCTGGCCCGTAGCCGGGGCGGCGCGGGGCCTGCACAAGTTCCCTCCGGCCCTTCCCATCCTTCCCCGCCCCCATGCCATCTCCTTCCCAGGGGTCTGCTTTCCCGAAGCCCCGCACCAGACTCTGGAAGGAGCCCACCGGGGTTTGGGGTGGGGGCGGGCGGAGGTGGTCGGGCCACCCCGCCGGCCGCGTACAGCTCCACCCCGCATCCACCTCTCCACACCACGGGGAAGAAGGTGGTGGAGTAGGGGGTCGCCACCTCTGCCCTAGGGGCGGAAAGGGGCTGGAACTATCGATCTTAAACTCCTCAGGACATCATTCTGAAGCCCCCTTCCTCCAGGAGCTATCCTTTCTTCCCAAGGATCCCTCTATCCTCAGCTCCAGACTGCCTCTCTTACTCCGAGGCCCCAGTGGACCTTCCCCTTTAGAATAAATTAAGGAATCTCCAGCTTCCATCCCAGGGAGAAGGGAAGAAACGCTCGAGAGATCTTGCGGACCGGGGAAGGGCCACAGCCCTCAGCCAGGGGACGGGCACAGGGCTGGATCCAGATCTGTCACAGTGCCTGGGCCTCACATCTACAGAGTCCGGATGGCCACGGGGTAGAGCAGAGACATGTGCTCGGCCCCCTTAATGGGCAGCTTGCGGCTGGCGTAGTGGTGCACGATTTCAGGGACGCTGCTGAAGGGTGGGCTGTTCTGGCCCAGCACGTACTTGTGTTCCTTGGTCCGGGACAGCTTCATATGCATGAAGCCCTGACTGCTCCTGGGAAGAGGAGGGGAGACCTGGTGAGTGGGGCCCTCTCCAGTACCCCCTCTTCCCTCCCCTCCCCTGGCAGCAAACATGGTTGTTCCAAGCCAGCTGAGGGCGGGAGGTGACTAGGGAAGGTTGAGGTCAGTCCAGAATGCAGGGAGGGGATGGAGAGGATTTGGGGAGTAGGCAGCAGCAGGCATTGGCTTTGTGGTGAGGGCACTGGGTGTGCCGAGAATGTGTGTGTAGTGAGTGTACCGGGTGTGTGCAGGTGGAAACGAGCGATCAGCACCACCCCCCACCCAGTCACCCCTGCCCCCCAGCCTATGTGGCCAGAGCCAGTTTAGCCTCCCCCTCCTTGAGCTGTGCGGAAGGACATCTGTGGTGGTGGTGCTCCTAGTGACTCACAGACACCCCTGGCAGAACAGTGGGTGCAAAGATGTAACAATCAAGGGAATCTTGGTTGAGGTTCTTTCTTGCAAAGACTAGACGAGGAGGGTGAGCTGCTCTGGGCATTCCCCTCAAGTCTGAGAATACTCAGCTTCCTTATCCTGGGGACATCCCTTCACCCTCTTGCTAACTGGGCCTTGGGCCATTCCCCCAGCTCATCTGTCCAGCTCTGCTGCCTGGGATGACATCATCGGTGAGGCTGCAGCTCCATTCCCTTCCTCAGAGAGGACTCGCTCCACTGCCTCTCCCATCTCCCCACCACAATCCAGGAAATCAGCATTACTGCCTAGCCCACAAGACAAGGACCCTGCTGCTCAGAGCTCTGGCCAGGTCCCAGCAAGAACGTCTGTCCAAACTACCACAGGCCTGGTTGGAAACAGGCAAGGGGGAAATAAGGCTTGGAGGAGCCCTGAAGCCTGAGTGTTTCTGCTGGTCAGAGCTGATGTGGGGACCAGGGCAGGCTCAGAAGCTGGTGTAGGAGGTGGGACTGGTGAGGGGGCTGCCTCATCGTGTGGCCCCCACCCTTGAGAGGTGAGGATGGCAAACCTCCCTTGCTTCCCCTGTCTGGGTACAAAGAGGGCTCTGACTGGACCCATTTCCCTAGGCCCAAAGATGAGAAAGCAGGGAGAGTGGGGAGACTAAAGAGGAAAGGGAAGGGAAGGAAAAAAGGGCCCTTAATCCCATTCTTCCCTCCCCCCTCAAATACAGATGCAAGCAGGCCAGAGGCCCCAGGGCTGGGTGTGTGTGTCAGGGTGTGGGGGTATCCTTCATCTGCAGGTCTGAGATAATGGCTGAAGCTACAGAGACCAAGCAGGCCTTGGGGAAAAGAGCAAAAGGCCTGAGGAGAATGTACAGCCCCTGGGGCAGTGGAGAGGGGAGGCAGTGAGTGGTCACTCCCCCCCAACCCCGCCCTATGCCAAAACCCAGGCTGGAGGCTACAGGCAACAGCATGGGCCCTGCGCTCTTAGTTTGGGGACAGTCCCCTCTCCATGGTCTACTTGGGGGAATTATCTCTCCTGAAAACTGTAATTTTATCTTCTCCCTGAGGGACAGACCTGGTCAAGAAGGGCAACAAGTGGCCAGAAAACTGAGTTGGAAGCTGAGAGTTCAGCCTCCATCTGGATGACTGACCTCCTGGGACAAAGTCCCAACGGTCTGTTAGGACACAGCAGAACCTTTGCCTGACGCTCAGGGAGCCAGGGTGGGACTAGCTGAGCCGCAGGGCCAGGGCTGGCATGGCTTTTGGAAGAAGCTGTTTAATTACCAGTGAAAGCCCTTCCATTACGGAGAGAAGAGAAACCATAATTGTATTTCAGAGAAGCCATTTATATGCAAATGTGGCTCTGGCAGACATATGCTGGCAGAGCCAGGTCTAACCCGGCTGGAGTGGCGTCCAAGCCTGTCTCCCCCTTTCACTCCCCAGCCTAAGGCAAAGCACAGGCTCTCCTCTGCTCTGCTCTGCTCTGCTCTGCTCAGGGCGCCAGACCCCTAATGTCTCCCCTGGCTTTGGACCATTCCAGACTTAATAAGGGGTGGAACTGTGCAATGGAATGGTGTGGTTCTGGGAGTCAGACTGAACTAGGTTCAGATCCTGCTTTGGGCACTTTATTAGCTGGTGGCTTTGAGCAAGTCACATACCTCTTTGAATCTATTTGCCTTCTATAAAAAAGAGATCAATTTTGTAGGGCAGTAGTTGACTTGAAGATGGTGCTGCTTGGCACATAGTAGATACTCTCTGAATCTTAACTATAATTTTTAAAGCAATATACGTTCCTGAAGTTATGTAAATCAAATTTTTGATAAATGATTTTTCCCTAAATGCTCCTTTGACTGTAGAATTTGCAGACTCCCTGAGCATAAGAGCTGGAAGAAACCTAAGAGGTGTATTCATTGACATATTTTGCAAAGGGAGAAACTGAGGCCCAGAGAGGTTAAGTGATTTGCCCAGGGTCACGTAACTAGTCTTATTAAACTCAAGAACGAAATGCAGGTTATCTGACTATAGTCTGGTGTTTTTCCACTATCTTTTAGGGGAGTTAAATAACTATCCTCAAATGTATCTGTGTAATACTCCCTAGTTCCCATATATTGGGTATGTTTGAAGTGGGGGTATACCTGTACTCTTGACGCCCCCTAGGAAACGTGGTAGGAAGTGGTACAGATGCCCCAGTAGCGGTGGGGGATGTGAATGGACACAGCACTCTGACAAGCTGCCACGTGGGGTGCAGGTTCTACCAGACAGAACTCCTGGGTGCCAAGGAGAGGACTGGCCATCCTGCCAGGAGACCCTGGGAGGCTGATGCTAGTCTGTATATCTATGCCCAGAGTGGAAGGCTGAGGAGGAGGACCTGCCTCTTCCAGGACCCTTTAAAGCTCAATTGTCCGCCACTAGCACCCAGATCTCCTGCCCACTTCTTCAGTGAACAAGAACAGCTCTTTGTCCACTGCTCCAACCCCCTCCCAGGACCCAGCCTCCATCTTACCCTGTTAAGCCCCACACGCAAAGTTCTATCTCCTTGTCTGTGCTTCTAGAACATCTTGGATTTCTATTAATAATGATAGTGATAATTTATTAAGCACTTAGCACCAGGCTAAGTGCTTATTTCATTTAACCTCCCCCTATAAAGCAGACATTATTATTCCTCCATTTTATAAGAAAGGAAACCGAGGCCCAGAGAGGTTAAGGGGGCCCCAGGCCACAAAGCTAGAAAGTGACCGAACCCTTCTGGGCTGGACTCTACAGCTCGACTGTTTCCCTCAATGGACTCCGAGCTCCTTGGGAGCAGAGGCTGAGCCTCAGCCCTCTCCAGATGCCCAGGGCCTGGCCCAGAGTCAGCATACATTCACAGGGGATGAGTTCTCCCCAGCTTGGCTGGAAATGGAGATACTGGAGCCTCCTCCTGTCCTGCCGGTTGTCCTCCCACCGATTCCCCTCGGCAACACCTTGAAGGCTCATCCTGCCTGGAGCCACCAGCGGGCTGGCCCACTCACTTGAGGGACAGGGAGAAGTCGTTCTTGCTGGTCTCACTATTGCGCACCAGGTAGCTGGCCTCCTTGCACAGCCGGAGCAGGTTCTCGGCATCTGTTCGACTGATGGCCCCGTGGTACCAGCTGAGGACAAGAGAGAGGAAGAGGACATCTCTGCCTGGTCCCTCACTGTCCAGCCCACCCATTCTGGGTGTCCCCTGCAGACAAGCCAGTGTCAGGGGGTGGGGGGACGGGAGGGGAGAGGCCCCAGCTGGACACAGACACTCACACCTGGTTTTCCAAAGGCAGTGCTGGGTCTGTCCACTCCCCCAGGGGACTGCTGGGCTCCACGCTTAGGGGCTTGACTGACTTAGGGTTCCCTGCAGAGAGTCGGGGAGGGAGCCGCCCCTTCTCCTCCCGGCCAGGTGACAGGCAGCTCTTCTCAGATCCTTCAAACTGGGCTGTGGGGAACATATCAGTCACAGGCTCTGAGGACCCTAGAGGTAGAGCCCTATAGAATAGCCAGTGCCCCAACCCCATTTCCCAAAAGGGGGCAAAGGAATGTTCTGGAAGGGTGGAGCATGCTCCTGGGCCTGACCAGCTCTAGGAACAGTATCTTGGGTCCATCTCCTGGTGGGGGAGGTGTGGGGCAGGGCTTATCCCTCCTGTGCCACACAGGGCCTCCCAGTCCCCACACTGTGGCAGGGGAGGGGAGAGAAGCAACACAAGAAACCACTTAAGCTTCTCTCCCTCTGGAGCAGCTGACTGCCTTCCCTTATTCCGTCCCCTTCAGGGTGGCTTCAGCGCTGATAATATTGTTTCTTTCTCCTCCTCAGAGTTCATTACCGTTCTCCAAATCACCCTGCCAAGCCATTCTGTAGAAATGACTTATCGATCTGAGAACAATTATCTGATTCCCCTTGGTGCCATCCTGACAGGCTAATCCTGCCCAAAGCCGCCAGCCAGCCCACCCCTCCCCCGCCCCCAAGGTCGCTGCCACAGGCTCCCCTCCTCAAGCCACAGAAGCCCAGCGGAGGCAGCTCTGCCCTCCCAGACAGGGTAGGCCTGACCGCTGAGTCCACCCAGGGAGGGCTGAAGCCAGTGGGCCACACGGGCACCAGCACACATGCACAGGTGACAGAGACTCTCCTTCATCCTGTATTTACAAGATACCCACTCACACTCAGGCACAAATGTACAAACAGGTGCTCACCCCTGTTTGCACAGATGCAATGCACACCCTTGGCTGCCCATTCTGGGTAAAACTGAATGTAGATGAAGTGTTCAGTGCCTTTTTTCTCCCCACTTAGCCCTTTTCTCTCCCTGTAGCACTTTCAAGCCTTCACTGTCTTTCAATCACCAGATGCAAAGATCAGATCTTTCCTTTACTCTAAGGAATGAGACACTTCCTTTGCTGGCATCACCCCCGCCTCAGGAGTTATAGGCATTGCTGAAGGATCTGGTCAGGCAAAGCTCTGCCCAAAGAAGTGAATTTAAAATAGTAGATTTTTATGGTATGGTGGGAAAGATATTTGGAAGGGGCTTCCCTTTGAAGATACCTTCCCCACACCTTTAGAGGAGGGAGGAATGTGTACCTTGCCCCTTCCATCTTCTTCCAGTATGAGAGGGATTCCTCCTGGGTTCTCTGAACTCTGCCCCACTTCTCAACTCCTCCAACCCAATCCCACAAGGCCTGAGGGGTGAGAGGACATGTCACCCTGGCCAGAAGCACCCACAGGACCCACCGCTGCTGTCCTCCAGGCTGGGCTCAGGGAGGGGTGAGGCTGGACCGGAGATGTCCCTGTCCCCGTCAGGCAGGGAGGGGCTGCTGTCCAGCTGTCCCACCGGTGGAGGCCAAGGTAAGTCTTTGATGACCTTAATGTCAACTGGAGCCAGTAGCAGCAGGGAGAAGAGAGACAGACAGGGACAGAGACAGAGAGGCAGAGGTTGAGATGCCAAAACCCAGAGCCAGGACACAGGACAGCCTAGAAAGTAAGAGGGTCAGAGCAGAGGCAGGAGGTGCTTCTGAGGAAGAACAGGACTTTCAGACGGCTGGGTGGAGCCACATTGACCACATCAGGGTGGGAGGCTCAGGGTGGCAAACAGCAGGACCAGAGTCTTGCTCTGCCAGCCCTACCGGTACCCTTTGTTTGAACTCACACAAGCCTCCAGTATCCAAAGGGACCAGGCAGGGAGGAAAAGTGGGACAAGGAGCTGCCCACATCTCCCAGCACCACATCCAGGCACCCCTACAGTCTCCTGGCACCTCCCACCTTGCCCCCCTTCTCCCTTTCCGCCTGCAGCATGGGAACTCACAGGCAGCGAGACTGAGATAACCTGTCAGGAAAATTCAGACACTGGGGCAGATGTTTTATTGAAATTTACCCCTCACACCCTCAATCCTAAGCCTTGACAATTAGAAGAGTGATGCCACTGGCGACTGCAGGACTGCTAACGAGGTTTCCTAATGACGAGCATAGATTTTCCCATTAAGCAATCCAAACAGTATTGATTCTCCAAGGAGACTTCTGGAGATAAATGACCCATCCTCAGTGGTGTATGCTTTACAGGAAACAAATTAGAAACCTGTGGTTTCCCAGTCTGACTGCCCGGGTGGGGAAGACAGAGGAGGACATGGGAGTGGAATGAGGTCTAATGGAATTTAGGGTCTTTCATGGTCTCACGGAATCAAGGATTCAGGCTCTTGTCCTATCCACTGAGACCCTCTCCATGTTGGACTCCGGGCCTGGGATGAACGCAGGAGTGCTTGGTACAAGAGAAACCTGACCATTCAGCAAAGGGGATTTCTCAGAAATTCCCCCTTCCCACTGGGTCCTGCTCCTGAGAAATCCCCTTGGGGCTAGTCACCCCTGGTCTGGCACAGCGACCACTGGGAGACAGCCTTCTAATTCAGGGCTAGTCTCTCTAAAGATTATACATACAGCTTTTTTCATTGTATGGAGTGTTAAACGCCTTCTTCTGTTAAGTGTAAGTTTTTAATATATGCCATATGTTTTATCATTTTGTTTGGAATTTCTTTATTTTTAAATATACACCACCTCCCGAAAGATGGTAGTGGCCCAAGTCTCTTGGCTTCTGAGAGGTAGTGATGCAGTGAGTCATTCCCTGACCCTGCACACAGCGCTGTGTCCACACTACCCAACTTGCTGCTCTCCGTGGTGCAGACTCAACTGCACTTCCCTTAAGCCCAGCTCCTGGGCCTCCCCTGGCCCCTGTGGTCCACTCCTCCCATTCCCCTGAGTCTAGAAACCTGCTCAGAGGCCCCAGCAGACCTGCCCTCTCCACCAAGGACTCACCTGCAAAGGCTTTGGAAATCCGCTCCTTCTTCCACTCCCAGGGCTGGTCATACTCCTCAGGGGGCCTCTCGTCATCCTCGGGCAGGCGGGACTCTCGGGGCCAGGAGGCCCCCTCACCCTCCGGGCTGGCCCCATCCTCCTCTGGCTCATAGGGCGTGTCATACAAAGGCAACGGCTGAGCTGTCGTCTCCTTGGAGCCCCGGATCTCTGCCAGGGCAAGGCAGTGGGGAAGGGTGAGCAGTTCCAGCCGCCTGGCTCAGCTCCCCAGCAGTGCTCCCCAGCCATAAGCCTTCAGAGAAGATGCTCTGGCTCTGTGGGGAGCCCACAGACGTGAGGGACACATCCAGGGTCCCTTGCCCTCAAAACACCTTTAGAGTTCCAAAAGCATGGCACCCAGCAGAGGCAGGGGCAGAGAGGCACCAGAGTGAAAGAAGATAAAAGATCCTGCAATGGCCAGCAGGGGCTGGGGTGCTGAGGCTTACACATTTAGGAAACTGAGGCAGGGTCCATCTCCTCCTTGTTGCCCAGATCCATTTATTTCCTTGTATCCCAAGTTATGTCATTTCACAATCAGGAAATCCTTTGTTGCTCAGATACTGCTGACCAACCCCTCCTTGAAACTCTCCCCTTTGACAAGTTGTTATCACGGACTGTCCTCCTCTGATCACCCCCAGTTTCTTTCCCTGGATCTCCTCTCTCTCGGTCTCTGTTCCCCAGGGCCACGTCTTATTCATTTCTCCCTGCCCTCACTCCCCAGTCTCACGGCACCCTCTGCATCTATACATTTCCAACTGCCATAAAGATATTTCACTTCGATGTTTCAAACTCACCACTTTCCTGCAAAATTCTTCTAGTCTGTTCTGTGATCCTTTTTTGGGGGTCACTGACCCCAGTGAAAATTTGGTAAAAGCTATGGTGCTACTCTCCAGAAAAATGTGCAAATTTTCACATAAAATTCCAGGGCACTCAGGGACCTCCTAGGGGTCCATACCCCTGTGATCTAAATGTGGTAGCCACCCTCTCACTTCCTCCATTTCTGTCTACTACACTGCTCTCCCTGGTCCTGGCCCTCCTTCATTCTCTGAATCCCATGTGTTCATCACCAATATCTAGGGACATTCACCCTCATCTCTCCATGTCTGGATTACTGCTAGGGTGACCCTCCATTCTACAGACTCACGTTTCTTGGGTTCCAAGGAATAACACTCCCTGCTGCTCTCTGCCCTCTCCCCCACCTCTCCCAGGGAGGGAGAGCAGCTTATCTGACCGGCCAGTTCCTTCCTGTATCTGCCTACTTGCAGAGAGAACATTCTGGTTCTTCTCCTGCCCCTGTGCAGGGGCCTAGAGCTGTCCTGCATTGCCCAAGCCTGAGTGGGCAAGTTTAATTCTATGGAGAAGTTTTAAGAGGTCCATTGTGGTCTCATAGCTAAGTAATGTTCTCCAATCAACTTTATCAGTAATAAAGCTGACATTACTATCTCCATCTGTCTGTTTCCTTACTCCTATTTCTCTATTACTTCCAAGCTCAGAGGGGAAGAAAGGGGTGTTAATTATTGGTCCCTTAAAGCCTCAACAATTTCCACAATAGTCTACTAACTCATCTTTCTGATGCCCAGTTCTTCTAGTCTGTTCTGTACACCAAAGCCTCAGTAATCCTCTTAAAATGCTATATTCATCCTGTTCCTTTTTTGTTCAAGGATCCATAATGGCTTCCTTCCCCCTTTTGGAGCAAGTCCAAATACCTCATTCCAGCCTTCGAGGCCCTTCATTGCCCCTCTTGGCCTCTCTCATCTTAGCTCTCCTGTATGCCCAGCACTATGACTATCTGCCCCTGAACAAACCTCCTTTCATCCTGCCTTGGGGCCTTGGCTTAGACTGACTCACCCCTGCCTCCTCTCTGGTCACCCTCTTTTGGTCCCTTTCTCTGGATCCTTCTTGACCTCTGTTCCCCAGGGCCAGGTCTCATTCATTTCTCCCTGTCCTCACTTCTTGAACTACTTGCCCAATATCATCATGTACACTGCATCTGCGTTTCTAGTCACGTGTTTCCAGTTGCCATAAAGATGTTTCACTTTGATATCCCATCATTTCAAACCCATCATCTTCCCTAAAGCTAGTGATTCTTTTCTTGGGATCACTGACCCCCAGCCCACACCACAGCTTGCCCTGCCTGACTATCCCCAGTGCTTCTATTGTCTGACTTTTCATTGTATGACCTTCTCTACCATCTCAGGTCTCAGGCACTGCAAATCCCAGCTCCTTCTCCAAAATGACTGTCTTGAAGGCAATGGCCCCCCTCCCTAGGGATCCAGCAAAGGCTTTCTCCATATTTTCTAGGGACCAAGGAATCAGTCCTTAGACCTGTGTGACCTTGAGCCTGATCTGCAGATACTCAGGCCTCAGGAAGCAATGCCCCTACCACGACTCCATCACTTACCAGCCATCATCTTTTGGGCCTCATAGGGCTCCATGTAGCCATCATTTTCGGGGACCTTCTCTGGGGCTCCTGAAGCTCCTGTTGGGCCTTCACCAGTTTCCTGAACATCAAATGGATCCGCATAGTCTTCTAGGATTGCCAGCTGCGGGAAGAGAGTGAGATAAGCAGGCTTCAGACATCTGAGAGACATCTCCACTCCTCTCCAAATGCTCTGTTCATGGCGGCAAGAATCCTGGGCATGCTGCCCAGGAGCATGGATGGGCACAAGCTCTGGCTCTTCCTTTGCAAGGGTCCCCCACTAGGCTGCCAATGGAATAGTACATCTTTCTTTTTTGTTAATTTCTGTTACTTTTGTGCCTCTGAACCATCCTCTAGGCTAAATGGACAGGATGAGGCTCTGGGCCTTAAGGCCTGCCTCAGTAAGGGTCTAGGCAGGACCAGAGCCTACACCAGGTGACTTAACAGGGAATTAATTCAGAGTACTGGTTATAAAGGTGTTGGAACAGTTCAGAGAGCAAGCAGGAACAGCAAGTAACTGGGGGATTAGCTTGGTCCATGCCTACCATTGTGTTCCCAGATGCTGAACAAATATTTGCCGACCATCAAGGAAGGAAAGACTGAGTACTGACTTGATACTACAGTTCGCTGGTTTATCCTCAAAACATCCATCACAATGCCATGTGGGTATTATTACCCCTGTTTTAAGGAAATGGAGGCTCAGGGCAGGTAGAGAACAACATGCCCAAGTCTGCTCCACATAAGTGGAGGAACCAGGATGGGACCTGTGCCCTTTGTGCAAAATCGTGCTGCTAACTTGTCACTATTGGGCATCTTGGCTGTCCTGGGAGAGAGACAACCTTAGGACAGCCCTGAGAAAGCTAGGGTTTGGGCTCTGTGGGCTGAAATCCCCTGGGCTCTCAGAGGACAGGAACAGGAAGGGCCTGGCCTTGGCCCTCCCCATCCCACACCACCTCTTTCTCCCACGCAAGTGGCTCATGGCCACCCTTCCGTCTCCCCACTCCCAGCCAAGGCAGTGTGAACCGCAAGCTGCACACCCTGCAGAGGAGTGCAAGGTACTCAGGGTGGGGTGCAGCTGAGGACAATAGAGTCTTTTTGGAAGCTGGGCACTGGTTTCGGGGGGACCTGCGGAGGCAGAGATGGAGCCCAGCCTGCCCAACGCTGCCAGCACCTTGGGCTGGGGGGAGACTGCACACCGGTTGCCAGGCGTTGACAAGAGGTAGCTCTGGGGCCTGTAGCGTGGGGGAGGGGCTGCTCCTGCCTCTCCCCTATCCCTGTCTAGGCTTTGGTTCTGGGCCAGATCAGAGCCAGCTGGGCAGGGAGGCTGTGGAGGTAAACGCCCTGCCCTGGGTTACAGGACCTGGGACCTCTAGCAAGGTGGAAATGGAGAAAGAAAACCTCCTACCTCAGGGACCCCTTCTGCACCCCCATAGGTCCCTCTAGGAGTCTCTGAAGCATGTCCCAACAGCTCCTACCATCTCATCCTTCAGTTCTTCAGTTCCCACTTGTTTCACCTTGTTCCATGCAAGACCCTCAGCTCCTTTACCTCCCTGGAATCTCTGCCTGCTTCTGAGAAGACCACACCTCAGATCATCCCATCACCACTACCAGATCACCCACTAGCCTGGGGCTCTTCGTCATTTTTGTCTCCATCTCCAATAAGCACCTGGTTTACAAAAGGCACTAGAAAATGTTTCTACTGGATCACTGCCTAGCTCCCCCAGAGCCCTCCACTCCTAGACCTCCTTCCTCCAGAAAGTAGAGAAAAGAAATCCACTCCCCACCACTTGCCGAGCTGCTTCATTCCAGAACAGTGGGCACCCACAATTCCACTCACCTGACCAAGGGGCACTGGAGCCAGCTCACTGGGTACCCATCCCAGCTGACAGCCAGCCTCACACTCACAGTGGCAGCTACTCAACAATAACTGAATCACCAAACCTGCTGGCCTAAACTTCACAATGGCTCTCCACGGCCCACAGAAAAAGTCAAAGTCAAAGGGATTTAAACATTCCAATTTCCTCCTTGGTCTCTCGCTACCCACCCTGGGTCACTTTGTTACCTGAAAGCTCTATAATCACTTTCTTACCTCAAAGGCTTTCCCTCTGCCTGGATCAGACTATTTTTCTTCAAAAAGCCTTTTATTCTATCCCCCAGGCCTGGTTAGGGCTTTTGTACTGGGCTATCATCACAATGTGTAGTGACCACTTGTTCTATTATCTGTCTTCCTGCAGACTGTGAACTTCCTGAGGGCAAGAACCATCTTTACTGCTAAATTCCCAATGCCTAAAAGTGCCCAGTAAATATTTATTAACTCAGTTCACATGAAACAGGAAGGAAGAATGGACAAAGGAAACACTTTTCCTTATTCATTCAGAAGGAGGAAGCATGAATCTGGGTGGGGTGGGTGGACACATAAGGGATTTGAGTCCCCGGAAGCTGCTTAGTGAGCAGCAGCACCTGGCCCAAATCTCTCCCCAGCCAGCTCCACAGAGGCCCCAGCTCCTTCCCTTACCAAGCCCGGTCAGAGCTGCAGGCAGCACCTTTCCCACTGGAGTCCTGGGCCAGTGCCAGGAGCTGCGACCCCTCCCAGGCCAGTGTGGGCATCTCAGCGCCAGCCCACAGGGCCCGTGGGCACCCAGGTGGCAGCTCTGTGGGCAGCTCAATGGTTCCTCTGTTCCATTCCTGGCTCCACACCCTGCTCCAGGAAGCCCTGGCCCCCGCCCTGGGCTGGGGCGCTCAGAGGAGCCACCCACTGGGCCAGATCAGGAGCAGCAGCAGACGCCTGCTGGGAAGGCTGGCAGGATAGACACCTGCCTTGGACATAGAGGACCCTGTCAAGAGACCAGGCCTGCTGTCCCAGTGACTTCTAGGTCACAAGAGGTGGCAAAACTGTTCAGTGCAGGGAAGCTGTCCCTGTAGGCTTCTGACACCTTCACTCCACCATGATTTACTTGGTTTAGGGGCCCTCTACCCAGCTCTGATGTGCTCACTGCCGTAAACTGCATCCATCACAGGGCCTGGCACACAGTAGGTGCTCAATGCACATTTACCGGCTGCTCGAAAAGCCTCCTTCTCCCCAGACTCCATCTTCTGAAGTGACACAGACTCTCAGATCCCCATTCATCCTAACTCTAAATGACCAGTAGGGGCTGTAGGAGCAGCCTGTCAGGAGAATTGACATTTGATGGGGATCAAAGCCTCTGGCTCAAGGGCAGAAGAAAGGAACAGGCAGGGAAGGCACCTAAAGCCAGGGCTGATATTTAAGCAAACCCTCTGGTACTCAGAACGCTGGTGGAACACTGAAATATTTCCAAACTAGCAGGTGGGTAGCTGCTGCCTAGAGAGCCCCCCTGGCTCCCACACCTCCTGCCAACCAGATATTCTCCCCTCCTGCCACCCAGCAGAGTGCCTCCAGGACCCTGCTCCTGTGCCAGTTCAATCGGGCAGTGCGCCTCCCAAAGCAGCTGTCATGCTTTGACTTTCTTTCCTGCACAAGCCTCTCCTGAGGTAGCCGGCAGGCCTACCATCTGGTTGGACCTTCCACTCTGCAGCTGGGCCCTGAGTTCCTGACCCCACCCAAGGGGTTTTCAAGGCCAGGGGAGCAAGGGGGACACATGTCACAGGACTTTGGCTCTGCAAGGTCCCCAGAGTCTACTACTGCCCCTTTTCTCCATTTCTTTAGTTTACATTTGACGTCTGGAAGCCTCTGGTTTTTTAATCTGTAGAATGGGGATGGTATTGGTATCCACCACCCAGGATTGGGAAGAGGACAATAAATGTAAAAAGTCCTTGGCCCAGAGGCTGGCATGGAGTCAGTGCTCGATAAACGTTCACCTTAGTGATAATCTCTTCTACTCGGGCATTAAACTCCAGAGTTTAGGTGCTGGTCCAGGGTGCACATCTTGCAGCAGCAGAGACAATAAAGACAGGGACTCAGGTCTCCTGACAGTGCCTTGCCACAGATTTTCCAGAAAAACTGGGAAATGTAATACCTTCTCTCCTCTACTTGTAGATTTAAAACATACTTTAGCATGTTAAGGCTCTGAGAAATCCTGCAGCCAAAAGAATACATCTAATTTTGTTTAATTTAGCATTTCTTCAAAGTATTTAACCACAAAATCCCTCTTCCTTGGATAGTCTGCTAGTTTGGGAGATGGTGTATTATTTACCTTCCCCAAGAATGAACTTTTTGCATCTCCTGTTCCCACTTATTGGAATGCCTTTCCCAATTTTATCTGCCAGGGAAACTGCTTCACATGAAACAAATTTGTTATTATTATCCTTTTCTAATTATAAAGCAATGCTATGCTTGTAAAACATTCAAACATCACAGATATGCAATTGATGCTGCCAACCCTTTTAAGACCCTTATAAGGTACATCCGTGGCCACTTTGTGATTGGGAGGCAAGTGCTGGCCTTCAGCATTCAGGAAATGGTGAGCTCAGCACAGAATGCACGCCTCATTCCTTCTTTAAGAGTCTCCTTCCCCTTGTTCATTAGCAAGTGCTCAGTGGACACTTCCTCTCTGTGGGATTCCTCTTAGCAGGTGCAAAGGTCCTATGCACGATGCTGGCAGCTAGTCTGGAGCCAGGCTGCCCAGCTGGGAACCTCAGTCCTCCTACTTACTAGCTGTGAAACCATGCAAGCGTGACTCAACATTCCTGTGCTTCAGTGTCCGTATATGTAATGCTGGAATAATAAGACTTTTCCTCATAGGGTTGTTGTAAGAATCAACTGGTCTAACACATATGAGCTGCTTCAAATGGTACTAGACACAAGGTAGAGGCTGAGTAAATGTCCACGATTATATTATTAAATACAAAAAGAACAAATTCTTGAATCTTTCAGGAGCTCACAGTGACAGACACAAAGCTCCAAAAGAGTGAAACACCTTAAGGCGCTGAGAAGCCGCGTGGCTAGACCCTTAGACCCACTGCAGGCAGGATGTGGGCCCCGCCTCTGCTCTCACATAGTATCACGTGCGTTCTGTGGGGAGGGCAACTGGAGGAGGCTGCAGGTACCCCGCCAAGCCCTGGGCCCCAGCCAGCTGCTCCCATCCACAGTCACAGGGTCCCAGCTGTTCCTGGCTCCAAACGGATGGAGCACCAGGGCTGTGGTGT